GTTTTGTAGTCGTAAATGTATAAATAACCATAATAGAATAATAATTGATTAAAAAAATGTAGTTTTATTTGCACTTTACCTTTGAGGATAGACGAAGGTGGAGGTGTAAACTGGTGGCGAAGGAGAGGGAGAAGGGAAATGATACTAAAACTTAACTTACATAACATAATGTAACAATAACTTAAAAATAACTTAACACTAATTTTTTATCTTTTCTGTTTTATATATTTTTTAAAATTTTTTATTCACTACTTTTTGCTTTCACTTCCACCAATGCTTTCACTGGATAGAGGTCGCTTGGTAAAATATCTATCCTAATAGGTTTGGCTTTGCCTACTTTTTAAAATGTTTTTAAAATGACTTAGGCAAATGTCATTACTCTCAGCAGCAATACAGCCAGTGTGAACCTTTTCGGGATGTTTCTTTTCAATAAAATCAGTCACTTTCTGATAATACCTCAAGATTTCCTTTATCAAGCGAGATCCTTCCACGATGAAGCAAACACAGACTGAGACCGATAAACAGAAGGAACACGTGATCATGGTGGTTGCGCTGAAAACTAATGTAACGTTTATGGTGAGTTTTTGTTCGTACCGTGGAGCAAAAATATGTTCGAATTTCATGTTGTATCCTGAAAACTTCATAATGCTGAAGTGTTCGTATCATGAGGTACTACTGTATATTGAAGCCATGCTTGCTCAAAGAATGGTTGAAGAAACATCTAACATCAATAAAAAAGGGATACAACACCACTGCATTAACCATCCTAACCATGAAACAGCAGATTCAAGTGTACTAGATAAGGCCTGACTACTACACCCATCCAGGGACCTCATACATCTCACACACCTAGAGAAACTGGAGGTCTATAAAGCAAGTAACAAAAACGTGGTTGTCAATTACAAGGACAATAACACCCTATCCCAAGTATATGGAGATTCTTATATGAAGTTCTAAAATGATCTCTACCAATAAACATTGCTACACCACCATCTAATCAGATGACATTTCCTTCTTTTAAAAACATGGCATTCAAATTATTTTGGTAACTTGAAGATGATTGGTTAATGCAATTAAAAACATTTCTTTTTCATTAAATTTTTGATTTTTTGCTGGAGTTTTGGTTTTTTGTTTGTGTTTCTTTAAATGAATATATAGTTATTGTTCTATAGATCATGTTTACTGCATACTATAGTATTATATTAAACACTTAAGTGTTTAATGCATGATTCATTCATTGATTGTACTCAAAAATAATTTTTAATACATTAGTTTCAGTCATTATAAATACAGATGGCCAAAACTAATAGTTTGTAAATCAGCAGTTAATAAGTTAGCAAGTCAAAAACTGACTGTACTTTTATTAGACAGATTTACATACATAGCCAGTAGAAAAAAAATCTCTTTCCACACATTGATGTAGTTAGAAATGGCAACAGGACTGTAACTTCTTTATTTGCCAATAAGAAATATTCATTTTTAAAAATAAATATAAAAATTAATAATTTATTCTTGAAATTTATCTTTTGTTAAAAATCACAGGATACATTGACCAATTTTTATCCTCTTCACTTAAAATATTTATTGAATTTGTTTATTTTGTAAAAAATTACCATATACAAATATTCACCAGTATATACAATATAACTATCTGTAAAAGTATCAACAAAAGTTTGCTTAATCACCAAATCATTGGAAAGTTTGTTCTAGGGGCAAATCATGACAACAATCCCAATTACTACTCGGCAATAACTAATTTGTCAATGAGCTAGTTGAGGTTATGGATACCAAGTGCTGTTTCTCTAATACTAATTATACAGTTATATTCAATGTCACGTGGTAATATATAGTTGGTTAATATTATGTCAGATTTGTCTAATAGATCTGCAATTTTACCATTATATTCATATATATGGCTGAAATGGGTTTTCGTGACCAAAATGCATACCAGTAATAAAAGTGTCATTGTGATGTTCCTAATAACAAGTGTGTTAATTTAACTTTCTGCTTCTATTCCGTTTTTCAAATATCAATATGTAACCAGTTCAAACTCCATTATTCTCTAGGAATTATCACATCCGCAGACTCCAAAAATACTAATCAGTCAACAACTTTNTATATTGAAGCCATGCTTGCTCAAAGAATGGTTGAAGAAACATCTAACATCAATAAAAAAGGGATACAACACCACTGCATTAACCATCCTAACCATGAAACAGCAGATTCAAGTGTACTAGATAAGGCCTGACTACTACACCCATCCAGGGACCTCATACATCTCACACACCTAGAGAAACTGGAGGTCTATAAAGCAAGTAACAAAAATGTGGTTGTCAATTACAAGGACAATAACACCCTATCCCAAGTATATGGAGATTCTTATATGAAGTTCTAAAATGATCTCTACCAATAAACATTGCTACACCACCATCTAATCAGATGATATTTCCTTCTTTTAAAAACATGGCATTCAAATTATTTTGGTAACTTGAAGATGATTGGTTAATGCAATTAAAAACATTTCTTTTTCATTAAATTTTTGATTTTTTGCTGGAGTTTTGGTTTTTTGTTTGTGTTTCTTTAAATGAATATATAGTTATTGTTCTATAGATCATGTTTACTGCATACTATAGTATTATATTAAACACTTAAATGTTTAATGCATGATTCATTGATTGATTGTACTCAAAAATAATTTTTAATATATTAGTTTCAGTCATTATAAATACAGATGGCCAAAACTAATAGTTTGTAAATCAGCAGTTAATAAGTTAGCAAGTCAAAAACTGACTGTACTTTTATTAGACAGATTTACATACATAGCCAGTAGAAAAAAAATCTCTTTCCACACATTGATGTAGTTAGAAATGGCAACAGGACTGTAACTTCTTTATTTGCCAATAAGAAATATTCATTTTTAAAAATAAATATAAAAATTAATAATTTATTCTTGAAATTTATCTTTTGTTAAAAATCACAGGATACATTGACCAATTTTTATCCTCTTCACTTAAAATATTTATTGAATTTGTTTATTTTGTAAAAAATTACCATATACAAATATTCACCAGTATATACAATATAACTATCTGTAAAAGTATCAACAAAAGTTTGCTTAATCACCAAATCATTGGAAAGTTTGTTCTAGGGGCAAATCATGACAACAATCCCAATTACTACTCGGCAATAACTAATTTGTCAATGAGCTAGTTGAGGTTATGGATACCAAGTGCTGTTTCTCTAATACTAATTATACAGTTATATTCAATGTCACGTGGTAATATATAGTTGGTTAATATTATGTCAGATTTGTCTAATAGATCTGCAATTTTACCATTATATTCATATATATGGCTGAAATGGGTTTTCGTGACCAAAATGCATACCAGTAATAAAAGTGTCATTGTGATGTTCCTAATAACAAGTGTGTTAATTTAACTTTCTGCTTCTATTCCGTTTTTCAAATATCAATATGTAACCAGTTCAAACTCCATTATTCTCTAGGAATTATCACATCCGCAGACTCCAAAAATACTAATCAATCAACAACTTTTTCTACCCAGATGCATTTCGGAAATTACAATATTTCCCTCCTCAGTGGGCTTTCTTCCAAACAAGCCAAACGAAGCACATACATTTTTTTTATTACTCTTACACACTATTTCAATATTCCAACCATTTTTTCTATTTCCATAATAAAAATATTTTTTTTATGGTTAAAGAAAAGAACACAGGATTCAAATCTGGTTTGAATAAAATCTATACATAGAAGTTTGAACTAGAATTTTCTCCCTTATTTCCAACATGCCATTCCAACCATCATGAACATGTTTGAATATATAGAATGTTATTGAATGTCTCCAAGTCAATTAATGATAGAAAGACTATAATAAAGTTTAATTCACAAAAAAAAAAAATAATCACTGATAATAATCACTGATAAATAAATCTATATATAATAAATAAATAATCACTGATAAATAAATATTGTAATAAGTAAAATTGATAATTCTGTACAATAATCATATACTGATAATTTGGTAGAGAAAAAGAATTTTGCAAAGTTTATCTAAGTAGATAAAATTCATATGATCATAATTCATAGTTTTATACTAGATCATTTTTTTGAGTATGTATTTAATTGGTATGATAATCATTCAAAACAAAATTTTCAAGAATCTTTTGGAATAATGTACAACTAAACTGTACTTATATCAACATAAATTTGTAAATAGATATAACTTCATATCATAATAGTGTGATCAGTCATAAATGGGTTAATCAAAACAATGATGTCAAAACAAATAACTAGTATGTAACCAACTTATGTATTCATATTTTTTATTATTTTATTTAATGGGTTAGTTTGTCACATATTTTAATTAATAATATCTACAATTACAAACAACAGCTTTTTCTGAAACAAGAACTTATCTTTACATTTATTTTGAATAATTAAATAAATAAATATAAAACTAGCTTAAGTTACATGTAACGACTCACTCTATCCTCCAAAATATCCTCTTTTAGAGATTTTATTTTATATAATTAAAGTAAGGTAAAAGTTTTTAAGCCAATACACCATTGCTTTTTCCCTTAATTTTTTTTTTAAAGATACATATATGCTCCTAAAGTAATAATAATAATAATAAATCATTAATTGAATTTGTTAATTATTTCTAAAATACACATTAAAATAAGCAAACAACCTTCAAAAACTGCGTTTAAAGTTAGAAAATTGATAAAATATTAGCTAATTTCATTAAATCACAAACTAAAAGTAAAAATGAAAATTTTGAATGATATGAAACTGACAAATTTATATACAGCATGAAGTTTGGATTAATTTAATATTTCATCAATTACATATTTGAACAGCTGAAGGTGTTCTATTGAAATTGACCACATTAATAGAAGAAAATTGGGAAAATTTGAATCGTCTGCTTGGAATTAAAAAACTATTAATAAGCAAATAATAAATGATATTATTTGAGACTTACCTTCGTTTTCTTCGTCTATTTTAAGCGCTCTGGATATATATTCGAAAGCTTTTCGGTGATGTTGTCTCTGTTTAATGAGAGAAGGACTTTTTTCTGGTTCTCTGCTGGTCATCGTGGTATCGACAACAGCGCGACGGAATGCAAGACGGCTTAAGTAACAACAAAAATAGTAAAGTTGATATAACAAACACAAAATAGTTTTGAAGAGCAATATCACAGGGTACGATATAATGTATAAGTTCTTTTGATGTACGGAACATCCTTTGGATTCTTTAGCGACGATAGTTTCACTTTGGGGCGATATCGTACAATTTTTCCGCAGCATCCGTGCGCCATTACTGTTTTGCGAACGGCCTCACGGGAGATAAGGTAGATCGTTCTGACGTCACTACATTTAAACGACTAATATTGACCAATGGTGTCGAATATGTCGCGTTTCAAACGGAATTAATATGTGTAAATTGCGCTCGGTTATTTTAATAAAATTATATTTGCCATCTTATTTATTGCAATTGCGTAACATAATACCTTTTACTAGTAGCAAAAACGAATCTGCAATTATCTTTTTCTGTTCTATGTTGTCATCTGCTAACGAGCTTGAACAGAGTGTCAAAGGTGGAAGGTTATAGAGATGCCGATACATTGTAATAAGAAAATATAATTACTAGATGTTACCCGCGGCTTCGTCCGCGCGGATTTTGCAAGCAAACCCCATTTATATTCAGTATTTCAACAGGGCCGGATTAACCCACTTTGGGGCCCTAGACATTTTCTTCTTACCGGGCCCCTCGTTCACAAGAAATAGAGCACACAAAAAATATAAAACAATAAATAAAACAAAACTAAATAATGTGAAAAACTAAAACAAATCTTAAATTTTTATTAAGTTAATAAAAAATATTTAATACACAACAATAAATTTTAGTTTTTCTAGAAAAGTTTGAACAGTTTGTTTATAAATTTAAAAAATTGAAATTTATTTTATTAAATGTCTNACTAATTATACAGTTATATTCAATGTCACGTGGTAATATATAGTTGGTTAATATTATGTCAGATTTGTCTAATAGATCTGCAATTTTACCATTATATTCATATATATGGCTGAAATGGGTTTTCGTGACCAAAATGCATACCAGTAATAAAAGTGTCATTGTGATGTTCCTAATAACAAGTGTGTTAATTTAACTTTCTGCTTCTATTCCGTTTTTCAAATATCAATATGTAACCAGTTCAAACTCCATTATTCTCTAGGAATTATCACATCCGCAGACTCCAAAAATACTAATCAATCAACAACTTTTTCTACCCAGATGCATTTCGGAAATTACAATATTTCCCTCCTCAGTGGGCTTTCTTCCAAACAAGCCAAACGAAGCACATACATTTTTTTTATTACTCTTACACACTATTTCAATATTCCAACCATTTTTTCTATTTCCATAATAAAAATATTTTTTTTATGGTTAAAGAAAAGAACACAGGATTCAAATCTGGTTTGAATAAAATCTATACATAGAAGTTTGAACTAGAATTTTCTCCCTTATTTCCAACATGCCATTCCAACCATCATGAACATGTTTGAATATATAGAATGTTATTGAATGTCTCCAAGTCAATTAATGATAGAAAGACTATAATAAAGTTTAATTCACAAAAAAAAAAAAAAATCACTGATAAATAAATATTGTAATAAATAAAATTGATAATTCTGTACAATAATCATATACTGATAATTTGGTAGAGAAAAAGAATTTTGCAAAGTTTATCTAAGTAGATAAAATTCATATGATCATAATTCATAGTTTTATACTAGATCATTTTTTTGAATATTTATTTAATTGGTATGATAATCATTCAAAACAAAATTTTCAAGAATCTTTTGGAATAATGTACAACTAAACTGTACTTATATCAACATAAATTTGTAAATAGATATAACTTCATATCATAATAGTGTGATCGGTCATAAATGGGTTAATCAAAACAATGATGTCAAAACAAATAATTAGTATGTAACCAACTTATGTATTCATATTTTTTTATTATTTTATTTAATGGGTCAGTTTGTCACATATTTTAATTAATAATATCTACAATTACAAACAACAGCTTTTTCTGAAACAAGAACTTATCTTTACATTTATTTTGAATAATTAAATAAATAAATATAAAACTAGTTTAAGTTACATGTAACGACTCACTCTATCCTCCAAAATATCCTCTTTTAGAGATTTTATTTTATATAATTAAAGTAAGGTAAAAGTTTTAAGCCAATACACCATTGCTTTTTCCCTTAATTTTTTTTAAAGATACATATATGCTCCTAAAGTAATAATAATAATAATAAATCATTAATTGAATTTGTTAATTATTTCTAAAATACACCTTAAAATAAGCAAACAACCTTCAAAAACTGCGTTTAAAGTTAGAAAATTGATAAAATATTAGCTAATTTCATTAAATCACAAACTAAAAGTAAAAATGAAAATTTTGAATGAGATGAAACTGACAAATTTATATACAGCATGAAGTTTGGATTAATTTAATATTTCATCAATTACATATTTGAACAGCTGAAGGTGTTCTATTGAAATTGACCACATTAATAGAAGAAAATTGGGAAAATTTGAATCGTCTGCTTGGAATTAAAAAACTATTAATAAGCAAATAATAAATGATATTATTTGAGACTTACCTTCGTTTTCTTCGTCTATTTTAAGCGCTCTGGATATATATTCGAAAGCTTTTCGGTGATGTTGTCTCTGTTTAATGAGAGAAGGACTTTTTTCTGGTTCTCTGCTGGTCATCGTGGTATCGACAACAGCGCGACGGAATGCAAGACGGCTTAAGTAACAACAAAAATAGTAAAGTTGATATAACAAACACAAAATAGTTTTGAAGAGCAATATCACAGGGTACGATATAATGTATAAGTTCTTTTGATGTACGGAACATCCTTTGGATTCTTTAGCGACGATAGTTTCACTTTGGGGCGATATCGTACAATTTTTCCGCAGCATCCGTGCGCCATTACTGTTTTGCGAACGGCCTCACGGGAGATAAGGTAGATCGTTCTGACGTCACTACATTTAAACGACTAATATTGACCAATGGTGTCGAATATGTCGCGTTTCAAACGGAATTAATATGTGTAAATTGCGCTCGGTTATTTTAATAAAATTATATTTGCCATCTTATTTATTGCAATTGCGTAACATAATACCTTTTACTAGTAGCAAAAACGAATCTGCAATTATCTTTTTCTGTTCTATGTTGTCATCTGCTAACGAGCTTGAACAGAGTGTCAAAGGTGGAAGGTTATAGAGATGCCGATACATTGTAATAAGAAAATATAATTACTAGATGTTACCCGCGGCTTCGTCCGCGCGGATTTTGCAAGCAAACCCCATTTATATTCAGTATTTCAACAGGGCCGGATTAACCCACTTTGGGGCCCTAGACATTTTCTTCTTACCGGGCCCCTCGTTCACAAGAAATAGAGCACACAAAAAATATAAAACAATAAATAAAACAAAACTAAATAATGTGAAAAACTAAAACAAATCTTAAATTTTTATTAAGTTAATAAAAAATATTTAATACACAACAATAAATTTTAGTTTTTCTAGAAAAGTTTGAACAGTTTGTTTATAAATTTAAAAAATTGAAATTTATTTTATTAAATGTCTAACAAAAGTTGTTATACAATAACAATATTACCTTAAAATATTAATTGTCAACAAAAATTTGAAAGA